TAAAGAGGAGGATGTGTAAGCAGTCGAAAAGATGCAGCTCGGCGGAGGGCTGTTTTGGCTACCCACGCCGGCCTGTTTACTAAACCTGTCAGCCTGTTGCCGTCGGTGCAGCCCAGATGTTTATGGGCAAACAGTTCCCACTGCTCTCGCCCTTCTCCTCCACCAGCCACGGCACGTGGCCCTGACAGGCCTCCCTGTGTTTGATCACAGATTGGGGCTGGGTGGGGGGAAGAGGATGTATGGAAGCAGTTTTGAACTCTGGAACCAGCAACCCCCAGGCCCCCCCCACCCGTTCCAGCCTAAGGCCTTTGTGGAAGTGCCTCTGTGGCCAAACAGACCCCCAACTGGCACAGTCAGTGGAGTTTGGGAGGGGAGGAGGCGAGCCCTTGAAGCCCCCCAGCCCTGCAGAGTTTGAACCGATACAGCAGGCAACACATCTGGTCTCTCCCCAAGTTTGCAGGGAAAGCTCAGAATCAGCCGCCAGAAGACTGGGCTTTATCTACCCAAGGGCACAAGAAAGGCTACCAGGCTGAGCCAGAGAAAGCATTTGTTAGCCCACCCTCCTGGGCCAACTCTAGTAGCCCACACATGGGAAAGGAGGGCTGGTCTATAGATGACCCTTCATGCGCCCATTTCCACCCCTCCCTTTGTAAGGTTTTAGGAAAACGGCTTTGCTTCGATCCTTCCAGGGCCTGCTCTTCTCAGGGTGCTGCTTCCTGGTAGCTTCATGGAGAAGAGCGTCAACCACCACGCACGGACAGCGGTGGTGCCAACTGGCCAAGCTGGGAGTAACCGCTCGGGGTTGGGAAGGCCCCTGTTCCAGGCAGACTCCCAGAAAGCCCCAGCGGCCTTTCCACCACCAGCCTGCCCCACCAGTTGGGGGATTCTGGGGGTTAGGATTATTATTCTTTGTTTTATTTATAGGCCACATTTCTCCTAACAAGGGACCCGAAGCTGGGGTTAGGAAAAAGGCTTCCTTTCTCACCAAGAGATGACCACAGGGAGCCAGCCAGACCGGTCAGGAGGGAGGAGCAGCCCGGCCCCCTCCTTCCCCATCAGTCTGGGGATAGTGGGGGCGGGGGAAGACCTTGAGTGGGCCTGGGGAGGAGAAGCCCTCCCGGAATAAATGCAAACCCACCAGGGCAGAGGAGGAGAGGCGGCCAAAGCCCAGCCTCCCTGGTACATTTGTTGTTGTTGTTGTTGTTGTTGTTTAGTTGTTAAGTCGGGTCCAACTCTTTGTGACCCCATGGACCCGAGCACGCCAGGCCCTTCTGTCTTCCACTCCCTCCCTGAGTTGGGTCAAATTCATGTTGGTCCCTTCGGAGACCATGTCCAACCATCTCCAACCATCTCATCCTCTGTCATCCCCTTCTCCTCTTGCCTTCACACTTTCCCAACATCAGGGTCTTTTCCAGGGAGTCTTCTCATGAGATGGTCAAAGTATTGGAGCCTCAGCTTCAGGATCTGTCCTTCCAGGGAGCACTCAGGGTTGATTTCCTTTAGAATTGATAGGTTTGTTCTCCTTGCAGTCCAGGGGACTCTCAAGAGCCTCCTCCAGCACCACAACTCACAAGCATCCATTCTTTGGCGGTCCGCTTTCTTTATGGTCCAGCCCTCACTTCCATGTGTAATACAGTGCCCAGAATCCCCCACTGCTTGGTCAGATGGATGCAAGCTGTGCACCTGAATCCACACACACACACACCGTCCCAGGCCACTGCTGCTCTCCATTCCTGTTCTGCCTGGTTGTGTGTGGGGTGTGTGTGTGTGTGTGTGTGTGAAGAGACCCTCTGGGTCAAAGGTGAGAGTCCGCCTCGGCGATGAGGTCACAGAGCCCCCTCTGCTCCTCCTCCTCCTGCTCCCCCTGCTCCCGGGGATCCCCCATGGTACCGTGGGCCACCCTGGCCCTCGTGGCCCTCCACACGGCCCTCTTCCTCCACCCCCTCTGCCCCCCCGGGAGCGCCTGCCTGAGTGTCCAGACCGTGTGGGGCCAGGGCCAGTGGGGCCGGCTCCTGCTGGCCCCCTTCCACCACCTGGGCCCCTTCCACCTGCTGGCCAACTTGCTGGCCCTGGGCTGGCTGGGCAGCGGTCTGGAGCTGGAGGTGGGCACCCTGAGGGCAGGGGCGGCGCTGCTGGCCCTGGCACTCCTGGGGGGCCTCCTCCACCTGGCCCTCAACGCCGCCCTGGCTGCAGCCACCGGGGAGCAGGGCTACTGGCACCACTGCGCCGTGGGCTTCTCAGGTGCGCCTCCCTGGCCAACTTGCTGGCCCTGGGCTGGCTGGGCAGCGGTCTGGAGCTGGAGGTGGGCACCCTGAGGGCAGGGGCGGCGCTGCTGGCCCTGGCACTCCTGGGGGGCCTCCTCCACCTGGCCCTCAACGCCGCCCTGGCTGCAGCCACCGGGGAGCAGGGCTACTGGCACCACTGCGCCGTGGGCTTCTCAGGTGCGCCTCCCGCCCTCCCGCCTCGGGCAGGCGGAGGCCAACGCCAGGGCAAAGCCAGCCCAGCTGGGGCGCCCAGCAGGCCGTGGGAAGCGGGGCGCTTCCTAGCACGGCATGGGACGGGCAGCGGGGGGGGGAATGCCAAGGGGCCCCTCTCCCTCCCCCCCCAATGGAAACACCCTGAGCCTTTCCCTGCTGCCCCCTCCGGTCCATGGGGCTCCTCTCATTTCTCCCCCTCCGGCCCCTCTGCAGGAGTCCTCTTCTCCCTCGAAGCGATGGGCCGGCCGGTGGGGCCCCCTCTGCCGCCAACCACCACTGGGGGCTTCACCCTCACAACCCGGTGGCTCTGCCTCTTGGAATGCCTGGCCCTGGCCGTCCTCTTTCCCAGGTGAGGGGGTGTGGGGTGGGGGTGGGTCCTCCCGATGCCAGTTGCGACCCTCATGCCCGGACGAAACATTCAGGTCAAAATCCAGTTGAGGGTCCCCATTCCCCCCCCCACCCCTGCTGCCTGGTCCTCCTTTCGTCTTTCCAAGGAGCTGCAGGGAGTCAACACTGCGGCTGAGCCCGGCTGAACTCAGAGGGTCTTACCCACGTCGGTGGCTAGACCACAGAGATGGGGAAGGATCAGCAAGGGTGCCCAGTGCACCTCCCACCACCATGGCGAGTGGTCCTCCCTCCTGAGATGCAGAAGGCAGCTTTCTCCGGCGGGGGGGGGGGACGCTTTCTCCTACCCCCCNGTCTCCAAATCTTTCTGAGGACCTAAAAGCCCCAGAAACGCTCCTGGAAGATGCTGTGTCAGGCCAAAGGGAGCCCCTCTCTCTAGGCTACCCCCTGCCTGCCCCACAGCAGGGCAAGACCTGCCCCCCCACCAGCAAAAGACTTAGGGGCACCCCCGCTCTTTTATCCTCCAGGCCCACAGGGGCCGGATCCTGCAGGGTGGAGCCAAGGCTGTTTGAGTGGCATGAAAGGGTTGTAACGGGTCGTCCAGACATGGTGGCATCTCTGCACAACCAGCTACACAGGGTTGGAGGTTCTCAGTCCTTCTTCCTTCACAGAGAACAGAGCCGCGCCACCTCCAAAGCTGTAGATTATATTTTAATGGGCACTAACGAACCATGAAGTGCTGTACAAATATTTGCGCAGTACTGGTGCTTAAGTGATCACCATTCTACACCTATTTTTAACTGGTTTTTTTTTGCTTAAATCATGCTGCATCAGATACCTCCATTTCTATAGCTAGTATGTTTACTATTTTTAAATGGTTGTTTATGGTGTTAAATTGTTGTACCCACCCCCCCAAAGTGGCCTTGGCAGCTGGAGAGGCAGCAGAAAAGTCAAATGAATCAATAATTCCTCCCTGCAGGAGCTCTCTGACGGGCCACCTCTCCGGGATCCTGGCCGGGCTGGCCTTTTCTACGGTGCCCTTCCTCTATCTGGACACCGGCTGAAGCTCCCAGCGCTCTCCAGCCACCGCCACCAGGAAGGAGCCCATGCACCAGGAGGTCCCATCCAGCTGACAGGAGTATTCCCAGGCTCTCTGGAACAATACAGCCCTCTCACCTCTTCCAAAAGTGATTCTGAACCATGCTTCGTGTCTGCAGAAGATGGGAGGCTTCTGCCATACAGAGGTGGTGTGGGGTAGTGGTTAGGGACCTCAGGGGCTGGGGAAAGGGAGAAAATCCAAGTTCTAGCTGTCTTCTCCCTTCCCTTCCACCCTGAGCCATGAAATTCACAGGGAGATTGTGGGTTAGTCACTCAACCGGACCCCTCTCGAACCCACAGGGTGGTCGCAACACCCAAGGGGAGAGAGCGAGCAGTGGGGTCACCGGAAGTGGCAGGAGAAAAAAGTATCAGCTAACCAACTAGCTTAATTCAGGGCTGGCCTTGTGCCTTTCAGCCAGGAACTACCACACCCATCACCCCCTAGTCAGCATGGCCAGCGGCTGCTGTGCTAGTTGGGAGCGATGGGGAGACTGTAATTCCAACACATATCGGAAGCACCACCACCACCACAAAAGGAGCAGGCAGGCTGGGACCAAAAAACTGGCCACTTTTTTGACTAAAAGTCCCAGAATCCCCCCATGACACCCAACTGGATGCTGGCTGAGGCACAGAACCCCTGGCCCTCCAGGGGACAAGGGTGGCTTTGCAAACATCCAAACAGGGGCTGGGTAAGTGGAGATCTCAACTGGAATAGCTCTGCATTTAACACCAACCCTTTGGGGCACCAGGGGGGGGAGGGGAGAGAAGCAGGGCTGGGACTCTCTCGGCCGTTAAGAGGCAGCTCTGGGTTCAAGCTTCATTCCTCAGTGCTTCCTTTTTTAAAGAACCCCCAAAGTTCAACAAACTCTACCTGCTAGCGCTAAAATCTGGCCCTTTAAAAACATGTTCTGGAGCTAAAGATAGTCCAAATCCTGCAACTCCTGAATGCTGGGCTTTCTCTGGCATCGGGACTGCAAGCGTGGGGCAGCGAGGGATCCGGTTGCAGGACAGGCAAAAACGAGCCCAGCTCTGTACGGCCGAGAAGGTCTCGGGGCTGCAACTTCCCCAATGACTTGGAGTGATGGCTTTGATCCTGTGACGTGATCCCCCCCCAAAGGGGGCTTCAGGTTCAGCCCACTCCCCTGACACCCTGAGCTGTAAGAAGGTGGAAGAAGACGTGTGTGCCCAGGTCTTTATTCCAGAAAGGTCCCCTCTCCCCTGCGTGGAGATTCCAAGCCCCCCACCACCACCAAGCACCAAGGAGTGGCCCCCTTGCAATCAAACCCTTCAGGTCAGAGGTGCCAGGTGCAAGACAGACAGACAGACAGAGACAGAGACAGACACAGACGCACACGCACACGCACACACACAGAGCTGCCGCGATGGCCAACTGGGTATGCTCTTTTTATTTTTGGCCACCAGATAAATGTCCACCCAAAATGTCCCCAAGAAGACTCAAGACCACCACTGTTTTTAAATAGACGTGTTTTTCTTTCCCATATAGATATTTATAGACATTTGAGTGCAACAAATCTGTGTTTATATATTTTGTGAGCATATATAGATATATCTTTAAAAATGTAGTCCATATTTCTCTTGAAAATATAAACTCCGCTCCTCCATAAGGGAACAGTCCCTTCTTTTGTGTGGGGGGTGGGGGTGGGGAAGGAAAGGAAGCCCCAGCGAACCCGCATATTAGGAGAACCAGAGCAGGGGAAATACTGTGAGCAGGGCATGTGAACTCTGGAAGGAAGAAGCCGAAGGAGGGACCGGCGTGGGTGAAGAAGCAGCGGGCGGCTGTGCAAATCAAGTCAGGCTACAGCACAATTAAAGAGGAACACAACGGACACCACCCTCTTAGCAAAGCTGTGATTTTTCTGCTCCCAGATATGAAGATTTAACAACAAGACATTTCAAATTCCCTTCTCTCAAGTCAAGCGGAAATGAAATTACTGAAATGTATGGCTGGTTGGGAGGTGTGTGGGGTGTTTTTTGGTGGTAGGGCAATCATACTGGCAAGGCGGAGCTGGCTTTTTTACTTTCTACAGCTGGGGGAGCAGCAGGTGTAGCTTTGGGAAAGTTGACTTAACAGGCACTGTCTGACCAGGTGAGGTTGGTGGAAGACTTTGTGGAGGGAGGGGCACTTTCTAGTTGAATGAAAAGGGGAGGGGGGGGGTCAAAAACAAGGACATGTCTGGGACTCCGGTGCTTTCCGCAAAGCATGGCACCAGAA